GGGGGGGGGGGGGGGGGGGGGTAAACAGGGAGGAGATCTATTTATAATGCGTTTGCGTCTTTGCAGGGGCCCAGCCGGTGAAGGCAGTAAATGTCACGTGTATTTCATATGAAACTCCACCCCCTCCCAGCTATTCCTCGCAATGCCAATCTCTTTTGCCGGTCTGATAATGCCAAGCACTAACAAAGTTAACCCGCACGAGACTCTCATCTCTAGAAATCATCTCTCTCTCTCTCTCTCTCTCTCGTCCTCGTCCGCGTCCCTTTTTCTGATCTCCCTCTTCCGCGCCGCGCGTTCTTTGCTTCGTTTTTCGAACTTTACGTCGTAAAGGATCTTTTCGGAAACGAAATGCGGTTGCCTGCGTAAGTAGCTTCTACAAAAGACATTGTGCTGGATTACTGTATGGTGCATTATACACTTGATCATCAAGTAGACAGGAAGACGTACAACGCAGTGTGAACCGCAAAGCCGCAAATCAGCTCGTAAAACATCCGATGAAAGGTGCGACGTGTCCACTTTCAGAAAATTTAAAAAGCTTCTCAGTTATCGGGGATAAGTGGTCATATCGATCCCTTGATTTTGCATTCTTGATTAATCAAAAAGTATGTTTTAATGCGCTTAAAAAAGAAAAGGTCTTAAGATCTGGAAAAATTTAACCTTAACTGGAACAACCGAATGCGGCTGACATAAATGACGTGCGATCTTACAGGGATATATTCCATCGACGGTTTATATTTGATGGATTCCTGGGCCGTCACGCGAGATTCTGGGAAAAGCCGTTTCGCGCGTCTGAAACTCCCTTTGAGCGCGGGGAGACCGGTCCGCACGTCGACGGGATGGGGTGAATGCGTGTGTTAATGAAGGCCTCCAACGTAACCAATTGTTATTAGATCGGACACTCCCTCGACCCCGCCGCATCTATTCGCCCCTCGCAATAACCCATAAAATGGAACATTTTGTTTCGTGTATCAATTATCCCCACTACATCATCGCAAGGGTATACTCGACAAATATGGTATATCAAGACGCGTCTTCGTTCGTGGGATTTCTCAGTTCGGTCGTCTCATCTTCTCCTCTCTCCTAAGAGAAACATTATTGAAACAAAACAGTGGCGCCTGAATTTCCTAAGAAAATTATCTTAGTTTTATAGCTCATAATTTCACCGCTTTGTCATTTCGACTAAACCCAGCCCGTCTGGTCCTGTTCACAACATTTTTGTCCAACGCTTTCGTTTAATTTATCGGGGTATTACAGAAAATATACGATGTGGATCTCGTTGCTACCGTTTGCGGGAAACGAGAGGGTTGATTGGATATATAATATACGATACGTGCCGCGTACGTGATTTTTGGTTCTAAAATCTGTCTTTTTTTCCGCGGGAAACTCGCGGCGATACCGCGCGTATAATGCACGCGAAGCGAATGGCTACTTTGACTCGTTGAAAACAACATGCGATGGCCACTGTTGCTCGTCGACGTGGACGAGTCCGCGGCATGGCGCGGCACGGCGCGACGGCGGCCGTTATAAAAATAACTGCTGATTGGACGCCCTACCAAGAAAAGTCGTAATCGCATCCTGAAACGTTCCCTTCCTTCCCCCGCCCCTCTCCGTCTCTCTCTCTCTCTCTCTCTCTCCTCTCTTTGTCCGTCCCTCTTCATTTCTCTTATTTCCCTCTTACTCTTTCTCTCCCTATCCTCTCCTTTCTCTCACTATTTTATCTTTCTGAGCATTCACTCCCGCTGTTTTGTATCGTCCCTCCCTTTCTCGTCAATCTCGTGTCGAGGAATATTACATCGCGTAAGAAGGATGAACGTATAACTTCGCACAAATCCTTTTCTGTTTCTTTAAGAATTTGATCATTTCTAAAATAATGTGATTTTTACACGTATCTTTCTTATTTAAATTGTTTACTGTAGTCACTCACTTGAGGCACTATAATACTTATTTGATCTTGTACATTATTATTCTTAAATCGAGAAAAAGTCAATGCTTCGTTATAGAATATTGTATCGCGAGAAATTTCACGAAAGTATATAGCTCGCATAAACAGCGAGAGGAAGACGATCCGCGATACTCGGTGCATCGCTGCCGCCATCGATTGCATTTTCACCGAGGAGCGATGCAAGGGACGAGTGGGAACGAGAGTATATCGGTCGCCATGTTGTGCAGCTTTTATCGCCGCGCCCTACATAGGAACATTAAGCGCGGGTTGCGCGTATATCAACAATAATTGCAGGGCCAATAATAAACCCGAAGGGAGCACGCTCGATAGCCCGAAATTGCTGGTTCCCCTACCCCGAGCGGCGCGGTTTTATTGCCTCCTCTCGTCGGTCAGAAATGGCGGCAGCCCCCTTCATCGTCCTCGATGGCGGATAAACGATCCTGCGATACGGCGCGAACGTGCGCTTCTCCTCCTTCTCATTGTCCGTCTGCGTTGTCTGCGCGTGTTCCAATGAACACGTACAACGTGTTGCCCGCGTACCGAGGCATCTCTTACAGAATCGTTCGCGAGCTCGTAAACAGCCGCAAAACCGGGCAATCCGCACGCGCGATAGTCGCGAGTATTGCCCTTGTTAACGCCCTGTTAACTCGAACCTTTGGACAAACTCGTAAAAATCCATCGGCTCGCCGTGGAAAACGGCGGCCAGCACGCGGCGAACGATCGAGATTATCGACAAATTTCCAGTCTCGGGAGTCGCGTTGAGACGTAAAAATCAAGAGTATATGATAAAACATAGGAAATTAACGAAGGGTAGTATAGTTTGAAATATTTCCTAAAAAAAAACTTTTGGAAATTATAGATTTTATCATTTTTCTTTATCTCCGCATAAGATAAAACAATGATACGCGCCTTTATGCCTGCAGCGTTACTGTATGTATAGGGAATTTTATTTCGTGGAAGATTTTCAATCGTTTCAGAATGTCGCTTGGTGCATTTATGCGCGAGACTCTAAACCTTAGATTACGCCAACTCGAAAGACCGTAAAGGTGCGTTTAGGTTTACGTAGTTTAAGCGCACGATAGTGCTGCTCTTGTTAACACTCCGTTAACTCGTGGCTCAGGCAACCTCGTAAAATTCAATGGCCATGGCTACCATAGTAGGCGGTGATAAATACGCGTATACGAATTAACTGAAGAATTTCTTGGTATCTTTCTGAATGTCGCTTGACGAGGAATACTTCTCACATTATTATGCCATCGGCTTCCACGTCTGCGGTACTGTATAGGTATAGTTCCGAATGCACCAGCCTCGTAACATTATATTCATCCATAAAACGCGCGCGCGTCTCTCTTTAAAACGGCTCAATTAATTTTTAATGCTGGATAAGGTTTATTTTATCGGACAAATATTATCAAAAGCAGAATTTGTTGCCAATTTTTAGTTAGAATTCGTGAATACGGATGGTTATTTTATCGTGTGAGAGCTCATAAAAGAGCTGTTTGCGCGAGCACCAATCGATAACTTTAATACAACCGCTTCGATACCTCACCGGATTTTCCACTCCGTGTTCGTTTTCTACCTTTAATCGGTTATCTCTCTCTCTCTCTCTCTCTCTCTCTCTCTCTCTCTCTCTCTCTCTTTCTCTTTCTTTCTCTGTTTCGTATATCTGACGCGATGCACCCTAAGGAAGATCGTAAAAGACTGCGCCACTCGCGTGATTGTTGCGAATTCGTTATTGCTCTTGTTAACGCCCCACGCTGGATATCTCTGGACAAACCTCATAAAATCCAACGGTTTTACGCCAGTCGTACTTTAAGACGATCGCAAAATCTGCCTTGGTTGATCACGCAATGAATAAAGGATGGTTTGCATCACCTATACAGTCTGATTATATCAGTCGTTTATTGATTTTGCGAAATTCTAAGTAATCCTTAGGAAGTCCCTTAAAATTTTCCGTGAAATTTCTGAATATTATAGTCAAACATATTTTATGTAGCAATAAATCGTATTTTATCAATCAATTAAAAATATGATATACTTAATAATCAATATATGAATATCAAAACAATAATAAATTTGAACTTTCAAGAATTCAACAGCAATATGAAAACTTTTTTAATTAATGGAAAGTAATTGAAAAATGTTCATATTGCTAGTAAATATATATCAATATAATATAATAATACAATATAATTTTATTTATTAAGATTACAAAAAATAAAACACTGTAATTTGTGCGCGCATTTAAATTTCATGTATTGCGCGGATTGAAATATTTTTTGCCAAAGTGAATAATAACATCATTTTGATGTTAAAAATCGCATGTATACATATATGTGTCTAAAATGCACATAAAGTCATCTTTATTTTACAGGTACACCCATCAGCCGACTGCCCATCATGGCAAAATCTGTATTGGATCTCTATGAGCTTTACAAGTTAGTTGTATTACGAGGTGGATTGGTCGAGGTAATCAACAAGAAGCTGTGGCAGGAAATTATTAAGGGTCTTCGGCTACCAGCGAGCATCACTTCCGCCGCGTTTACTTTGCGAACTCAGTAAGTAGATCGTGAAGTTTCTCATCCGGGACCCCAGTCTTGCTGCCTATACAGGCATAATGCCTGGGCCCTCCGTAATTCGCATACAATACGTCTTAGTCGACGAAGAGAGTCATCCGAGCGTGAAATCTGTAGCAATGACTAAGAGCGTCGTGACTTTTACGCGCGTCGTCTCGTCAAGATGATCGTGTTCGATAAAGCTATCCGTGCCGTACGAGATACGCGTATGATAGCCGGATCATGCCATTCGCACATATTTGTATCATTTAGTCATCCTGTCAGCAGACGTTTCTCCATTCCTGTGTGTTTCGCTTAATAAATGTCTCTGTAACTATAATTCACAAGCTGCGTTCGAAGTCCGATCGAAGACGGAGTTACCGTCTATAGTATATATGTATCAGCCAATGAAATTGGATGAATTAAATTTCGCGATCGAGAAAGCAGAGAGATATGTCGCACGGGCCTGCAAGCATGTTATTATGCACTCACTGTCGACGAGGAGATAAAACAACGTAGGTGACGAGTTAGAGGCGTGACATACAGGTGCATCGTCTTAGCCGACGTGTCGTCTACGTCGGATCCCCCGCGCGATTCTTCACGAGCGGGACATCTCGCGGGGCGGGTTGTGACAACCTGGAACCGTTGGCACGATATATATTCGTTTATATAATACCGAGCATATCCAGCGCGACGACGAAGATTTATCTGCCGTTCGCGATGTCTCGTCTCCCCGCGAGGGACGGGAGAGGACGAGACATCTCTAAATAGAGATTCGTCGGCGAGATTCGCGTCGGAGAGACGACGGCGCGAGGCATCCCGCGGTCGAACGCGCGACGGAGAAGAGGCCGCGCGGGAATGGAAAAGAGAAGGACGCGAAAATGCGCGCGGCGCGGCGGCCCCAGGAGAAGAGGGATGGAGAACGCCGACACATTATAAGTGCGGGCTAATATGAATTACACGGGCGCGATGCTAGGGGTGTGCTCGTGAAAATAACTCCGCGCAACGCGCTTTGTGCACGACGGAACGTCGGCGTCGTGTCGCGTCGCGTCGCGTCGCCTCGCCTCGCCTCGCCTCACGTCGCCTCGCCTCACCTCGCCGCGATGGCGCATCCATCATTCCGGCAACCGGCTATCTTTCCTCGGCGATATGTATGCGAGATATAGAAGAGAAAATACGAAAATACGGTCGCGGCCTCAACAAAATCTGTTCGCGACAACATTCATCTGGCAAGAATCAGTGTCGATTAACTTGAACCGTGACGTCCAACTATCTCCCCATCCTTCTAGTAACACAAGCTAATTATATCCATTCAATGTTTGACACCTTTTTAGAAAAAGAAAAACCTTGAATGAAATTTGTCTTAATAGCGTCATTTCGTTTCCTCATCGTATAAAATTGGGAAAGGGCTCCGTTTAAAGCTATTATAATTTAAAGGAGTATATATTTTGTATCTATATAATATTAAATCCTTATTATGTTTTCGTGAATATTTCATGTTACAATTTGTACATGAAAAGGAGTAAGGAACAGTTATCGCAAAATAATTATGTACAATAGAATGTTTAAGCGTTAATGCTGTAATAAGTTTTAACGTTCAAGCAACTAGTTTAAGCGCCCTACAATTATTTTGATTTAAACAAAATTATTTTTAAATCTGTGTATACATATAAATCTCTCTGCATATAGCTAGATTCTTAAGCATTTCAGCAAAACCATATAGATATCATTATCCTGTGAAAAGTTGTGCATTTACTGTACGAATAATTCTTCGACAGGTACATGAAATATCTGTATCCGTACGAGAGAGACAAGGAAGGGCTGTCGACCCAAGAACAACTCCAGACGGCGATCGAGACGAATCGTCGCGAGAGCCGCAGGAACAATTACGCGGCTTATCCTGACAATCAAGTACCGCGTAGCCAGCACAACTCGTTGACGCCGAATCCAATGCCGTTGCCGCTCTCCATCGCCCAAATGGCCGTGGCTGCGAATGAATCGCAGCATCATGTCGTAAACGGACATCCACACGGTCCGCAACATCATCCGCAACATCTTCCACCAAATCTGGGTAATCTTCCTTCTAATCAGCGTAAGTGACTCTTTATCTCCTTCAAAGAGCACATTTTTTTACATGAATTTTGTCGCATTGAAATTTGATTTTGATTTCCGCACACCTCGCATATATTTTTGACGTCGCTACCACTCAGGTCCGTATTTAGAACGCGTTTTTATTGACAAAAGCGCGCGTTTATCTTTGAAATTCTATAGTATACGTAATGTAAACTATAGCATGTTAGAGCGCTAACATCGTTGTAAGCGCGTTTTGAATACGAGCCTCAGTGTTTTCCGTTATCTCGATAAAATTATTTAGATGATCACATCTAGATAAAGAATTGGCTTTATCTTATCTTAGATAAAATTAAAATAAATTTTTTTTAAGTATAACACATTATTACCATCATCAGCGCGAGTAGAGCGCCTCTTTAATTGTAGACAACAAATATTAATTTACATGCAGAAATCGTTTATCAGACGAAATATTCGAATTTTTATTCTTAAAAAATAAAAATTTATAAAAATATGAAATCGCATTTTTTTGTATCCTAAATTGTTTTACTACCTAATAGTTAAAAATAAAATTATCTTAAAAATTATCTAGATAAAATTGTTTTTAATTTTATCTTTTATCTAGATTAATGTAAAATGAATCACATCTTTATCTTATCTAAGATACATTTTTGTGTGACTTGTTTTATCTATATCTAGATAATTTTTAATTATCTAAGCGCAACACTGCTACCACTGCACTATATAGCGTAAAGTATGATAATTAATAACTCCGGTTCTCTATCTACTATACTTTTCCAAATGAAAGGTAATTCGTAACATGCCTGGTATCAGGAATAGAAATAGAAAAAGAGTACAGGAAAGAGTAAAAATGTGTGAGAGACTTCCCGACGGTAGGGAAGATATCAGGGGACGAGATAGAAAAAATGGTAGAAGGAAACGGGAGGAGGTAGAGCATACGGGTTTATTTTAAATCGGTAGGTAGTGCTGCTTCGGGCCTCCCCGGAGATGATGATGCGAGAGCGAAGGAGGCATAATTGATTGTACGATCCTCCGGAAGACAGGCGTTAACGGATGGCTCTCGCTAACGAGCATTCCTATTTCCCTACCCTTTCCTTCTCTCTTTCCACCTCGTCGCTGCGCCCGACAGTGATCTGGGTAACGTCGCGCTTCGATCGCACTCACCGCTCTCCTTCGATTGTTTCCTTGTACGACGAGATCGGATATTCAGTGGATGTACTCGTATATCCTTCAGCAATATTGCTACTTATCGCGGTATGAGTAATCATACCAGTATCAATGAATACCCAGAGATCAAAATATCATGATATTTTTAGCTATTTGACAATCCATCTATCACAGATAATGTGTTTTAGTATATCGTATATTTATACATATAAGCTCGAAAATTTATTAATGTAATTTTCACGATATCGATGAGTCATTTATTTGAATTTTAAATTTTGCACAAGACACTGTGAAACGATCGAGAACTTATTTAAGTAAATAAGTTCTTGATTATTTCATAATTTATACAAATGTTCGGTAATAATGCCAATAATTTTTTTGTAAAATTTAGTTGTGTTTTTATAATGTGCGTGTGTGTGTGTTTCAGAATAACACAAAATAACGAAATCAAAGTCCGATTATTCAATCCGATAATTCAAATGATCAGGAAATTCATCTATGTATATCAGATGTTTAACGAATTGTATTGTAATTTGCATTGCAGCATATCATTGCTTTTATGCGTAACTTTTACTTTATTTTAAATTTTATTTAAAAGATAACTAATATGAATTTTGAAAGTAATTTGTAGAATTCATAACTTAAGGAATCTTTATAGTGACACTTTCACTGTTTTTTGCACAAATTGTTCAAAATAAAGATGCATTGTTTATTTGACAACGTTAAAAATAAAAGACTTAAATTAAAAATAATGCACGGAAAACACAATTGCCAAATCGCCTTATAAAATTTGAGAAATTTTTTTATTATCTCATGCATTTTAGTTATTTGTTTTATCTATTTTTAGCCGCATTTTTTTACGATTCTGAACAGTTCTTTATTAATTTTTTATTTTTATAATTTGTGAGTAGAATGAAAGTTTCTATATTCATTTATTTTATTTTCCATCTTAGATTAATTATCATTCTCTACGTTACGAATTATTTTAATATTATTCTGTATAAGTAAAGTATATAGATCGAGATTTGCAAAGGGAATAATCATTAAATTATATGAGTGTTATCCATATTACATACTCTTATTTGGAATTATCAAGAACGCTTAACTAAGAAAGTTACTCCGAATATCTGTCCTTCTTAATCCTTAGTACATACGATAATTTACACATACCGTTCATATTCCAGATTAAATTTTATTACTTTTACAAGAGTATATAAAAAATATTAAGTAATTCTTACATAAACTTTAACATCTTTAAAAAGTATTCATAAAATTTTGTATTTTATAAAGTAGAGAAAGGATAGATAGCCATTATTTAGCCAGGTATTCTTAGTACTATATTTTAAAGAAAAGAAATATGCAAGACACGAATGATTAAATTGTATGTATTAAGGATTAGTTCATTAATTATCGTGTCGCACTTTTAATATCGAGTATGTATAGTTTCAGACTATATGCTAAGGATATTGAGAGACCGAAATACAATGTCCAATAACCCGATGATGCAAGGGGGCACACCGACGCCGCCACCAACAATGGCAGAGGGATTTAAATCCGGACTACATTTGTGGAATATGTACAGTCCAGGTAACAATAATATGTATCCAGCGTCACAACCCTTCTCTCCATCATCGTCTCATTCGCCATTAGCACCGGCAAATAGTCCTGAACCACAGAGGGAAGCCTTAGATCTCGCAAATTCTGGAAACAGGTAAGTAAGATCTTCTGAATTCAACAGTGATGGAAAAAAATATTAGTTTATGATTAGTTTAAGGCAAAAAAATTAAATTAAGTCATTGGATCCGGTTTTTTTTCCAACCCCTAGTAGATCCGTCAGTTCACCGTCATTCGGAGGAGAGCCGAAGAGAAATCAAGAGAATACCGAACTCTCATCTCCAACCCCCTCCACTAAAAGAATGTTTTTATCCGATGTGGAAGGAAATAATATGTCTAATTCCTTGCGTATTAGACAAGTGGTTACCACTCGAGGTAAGTCTACAGGTAGAGGATTAGATTCTCAAGTTATTGATACATGATATAATTTTCGTTTAAAAAGATTAAATTGAGATATATATATATATATATAAAATTTGTAAATAAAAAAGCTATTTATTATACAATAATTTCTTTTACTTTTTTAGATCCCACAAGACGAAAAGAATTAGAAATTAGTTTAAATATTAATGGTACTTTGTATGAAGGCGTCCTGGCAGTTAAACAGGAAGGCAGTAGTAATGGCAGCACCTCGTCGAGTCCCGATAATGGAAAACGAACACAAAATAACGAATCATGAACATTTGAAAGACACACGATTTCGTACGACAACAAATTAGCCTCGGAGAGTCTAATTAATAATTTTGTTCTTTAGACAGCTACATACAAGACATCAGGCAGTCACAACTAGACATTGGATTCTTATGCAATTTTATATTCTTTTAGAAAGCAGATTGGAAAGTAACGTCAAAATAGAAATTTGTCTTATTGCGAAAGCATTGTTAAAATGCATATTTATTTATGCATATTTGCATATTTGTACATGTCTACAAAAAGTATCATAAAAAATCCGACATCTAATCATAACAAACATTTAGTAATATACAAAATAAACATTTAGTAAAATAAAAAAATTATAAATCTTCCAGCATTTACACATTACAAAATTTTTTATTGTATTTTTTAATGTTTCTTTTTTAAAGTTTCTATATGGAAGGTTTATTTAAAAAAAATTAACAATTTTTTTCGAATATGATCCTAAAATGCAGCTACATTTTAATTGAAATCGACTTTCCATTTGCTTGCATAATGTCGTAAATTTTCCTATCGTTTCGATTACCTGAATGTCTATTATGTCTGCTTGAATAATCTTGAATGTGTTCGAAAAGCAAGATTATTGCATTCGGAAATTATTGGGTATTTACAAGTATAAATTAGTTCGGTCCGTTTTCCAAAAGATGATCGCCTTCAAAGACGAGTCATTTTTTCGAGATGAAATTCAAAAATTGCCTGAGAGATGAGAAAAAGTAGTAGCCAGCGATGGACTTTAATTAATCTGTTCATTCATTTCGTTTCGAAATAAATGCATTTTTGAACACAAAAATTTACAGACCGAACTAATTTGTACACCTAATAATAGTTTGGAATAGTTCCATATAGTATATATAATAGCTTCGCTAATCAACTTTTCCATATAAGAATTTACAAACTAAAATCGAACGAATACGCCATAGGTGTAAATAATTAACAAATGCGAATAATTAACTGAATTGCATATACTCCAACTTTTATTATAGATAAAAATTTATAAATCATTTATAGGGAATTTAGATATTTTTATTGGTATTGAGATATCAGTGATCTTTTTTACCAAAGTGAGATTCGTTTGTAAACTGGAGTAATTAAGATATAATGTGATATTAGATACAGAATATTAAATGTAATAATTATGAATGTATATTGTAAATGCTTAGATATTTGTGACTAACACGTATGTACAGGATGCGTTAATAGTGTTTTGTGCGCTCACATTTGATAGTCAAATATATAATATCTTTATGCTCATATAATTTATCGTTCAATTATGAACATCAAATTTGATTGTCACTACTATTAGATTACTTAATAATAATTCAATTACTTCATATATGCAAATACAAAAAATTAATGAGTTACATGTCGTAAAGTGTCTTTTTTTAGATGTAAACGCATTGGAGACTATTAATGTATTCTTGTACTTTCCGACGTATTTTGACTATAATATTTCTATTATCGGAGTATGTGCAATCGGAGTATGAAAACATATCATACTATACGACATATATGTTTATTTTGTATATAAACTGTATCAAAGTTTCTGATGCAAATTTTTGATATAACTTACAAAGTTTATCAAATTTAGTAATAATTATAATAATTGTCGACAATGAGTCAAACGTCGTCATTTTGAGATATAACATAGGTATTAAATGTTGTAAATATCATTTTTCCCTTTTGCGTCTATATATTTTTTCTATCATGTTATTTTAAATGCATTAGTTTATATTCTTTCTTATAAATGAAAAAAATTAATGGCAAGTATAGCATAAACATTTTTAATCCTTAGATACAGTTGTATCCGATTTAAATGATTTTGAAAACCGGGAACATTTCCTTGTTTATTTTATGATAAATTTCACGTTTGTAAATATATGAGGATTAAAAATATTTGCTGTTCCACCTGTCGTATTCTCTTCATTAGAGAAAAATAGGATTATTGATTTATATTATGCGTATGTACTTTTATATTAATTTAGGTTATTTTATGCTTATTTTAAAATTATTATTATAAATCAAACTTTTTTTAAACGATATATTCTTTAAGTAAATATTTCATAAGCGTTTTTTGTTAGAAATGACTAGCATGTAGAAATTGATATAGAAAATACTGCGTGTACATACAATAATAGATAAATTCCTTTTTTTGTATTATTCGCATTTCTAAAGAAATGTATTCTCTAAATTTTTCTCTTTCGCATACATATTTTTAAAAAGTAATTAATTGAAAACAAATATCATGACTGTATTGAACTTTGAATATATGGTCAAATATAATTAAATATTAAGATTGATTCCACAATTTTGTTACATGAACGAATGTAAATGAGCTATATGTACAAGAGATAATTCCTTTTATTATTTAATTTAGGTATAAAGGACACTCGTTGCCGTTTCAATTTTGGCGCGTAAAGAAATTTCAAAAATTGAATACATTAGATAATGTTTGATAATTATCTGTAAAATTGCGAAATAAATTATGCGTCCATATTTCGTAATATTTTAAATGAATTGTATGTATTATAAATCAATGTAACAAACACAACATTCGTTTATACTCCAATAGATATTTACTTATTGTAAATTTCTCTCTTTTTCTCTCTATTTCTCTTTCTCTCTCTCTAAATGTAAATAAGTATAATGCATTTTCAGAATTATTAAGGTAGAATTATTAATTATATTAAAAGTAGTTTTGTGAAAATTACGTATATAATTATTAATTCATTATAAAGCACATCCAGAGAGGAATACAATCCAATGATAGAGATATGTGAATTCTATAATATACACATTTGATATTGTTTTTTGATGCGTAACGTTTGTATACGTACGTTCTAGAATATCTTATAAAAATAATTCCCAAATTTATATAATACATGTTAAATACAAATAAAATGTTATTTAGTCATGAAGTACGTATTTAGCAGACGTATTACAACATGAAATATGATAGAAATGAATTTTAATAGCGAGAATCTATCGCAAGGCTGTTCAAGAACCGGGATGCGAAGATATTATTATCAAGTCGTACAATTTTTCAGAGAAACTCTGGAGATTCCTAGGTTCTATATATATTAGGAAGTATTGAGTTTTACCAAAAAAGACTGTATAGCATTAAAATTACTTTATATATACTTTAGAATTTTAAGTCGCGAAATTATGAGTAGTATTTTAGTAATTTTAAGTTACTTATTATTATATTACATTCATTTATAATATTAAATCGTATATGATATATAGGATTTTCTATAATTTTTTCTTTATAGGAAGCAGTTTGCTTAGTGTTTTTCAAATATGTTCGAGATATAAAAAAATTGAAAATTATTCGTATCATTACATTCTGCGCACAAATCCGTACGCAAATTGAAGATCAATCTCATCTTACGCAATGTTTTTATCATTTCTTTTTTTTATTCTCGTACATTTTACCTTAATAAAAATCAACTTAGAACCTTATAGCTTCAGTTTTGATAGCCACAGACATATTGAAAGATTGTACAATTAAAATATTGAAAATGTTGAATAATTCTGTCTTGGCAAAATGATATGTTAATTGGCCAGTTTTACATGTCTAATTGTCTACATCTATCAAAATGAAACTATACTATAAGTATATATTTCTATTTGAAATATGCTAAGGACTCACTACTACATCAGCAAGAAAAAAATTAGTATAATTACTAGAATAGTTATTAGAAAATATCGTATTTAATGTCATAAGTATAATACTAGTAATACTGTCGTTATTATAAATATCACATTTATATCACATATGAATCGTTATAATGTGAATAATAATAACGAATAATTAAAATAATATTTCGTCACATTTTTTATTTTCCATTTTGCATGTTGAGAAGCATGTAATAATTATGCATAACTAATTTCAGAAGTTAAAACTCTGTTGGAGTATTACTAGATAGACTTATTGAAATATTGTAGGATTGAGCGCGTTAATAAATGCGCCTAAGAGGAACAGAAATTTCGCTTCCAACAACTTTTTATTTAAATATTTTATTTGAATAACATTCTTTTTTAATAAGTAGGATGACTTTTTTTCGAAGTTCGGGGTAGTAACAGAATCAATTCTCGTATCACGTATCGAAATATTTCTTCTAAAGAACGTAACCAAATTCATGCTATTATTTTATCAATTGTTCATGTCTATTGTTAATCTAAAATATTAAAACGTTTCATTTATTTATTATTCATTATAATATTATATTCAATTATGTTAGTTCAAACAGTTCATGCATATGCATAATATGGTAACATTTCGCTAAATAATATGATAACGAATTGATTATTCGTCCTTATTGTTTCCTTTGCAATAGCGAGATCCATTATAAATTAATTCATTAAATTGGCTCAAAGTATAGCAAATTTTCTAGCGTTTTACCTTTGTATGTAGACACGTTCAATTTTCACTTTTTTTCTTGATTTAAGCTATAATAATTTTCCAGCATCGTGTATCGTCAAATCAACCATTAAACTTAATTATATGATGAAGATTAACAATTAAACAAAAAAGGAAAGTATCTGGAGTATTGTTCCGCTTTTATAATTAATAAAAGTATTGTTTTTAATAAAAAGAAATTTTGTTCATCTAGCTTACGCTCATCTATAGCTTAATAATATTCTAGCATCGTTTACCATCGAAATTGTGCGCAAAAATAACAAAAATTAGAAGCGCCGTACACTGTTATTGGTAAAAGATTTTCAAATTCATTCCTTTTTTTTGTCTTGATGATTTAAAATGCGTAATAATATTCCAACATATTTATCATTGATAACTAATTCTTTGGTATGACACACACAGAGAATAATGAAACAACATTAAATAATATCATTTTATAAAGCAAAAAATGTGTAATTTCTTATTGTGATTTTTTTTAATAATTTATCTTACATGTAGATTTAATTTATACGGATATTCTCCGGGTTGACTTTTAGCGCCAATCGAGATAAAGAGATAAAAAGAGAGAGAGGTACCTAGGCAAAAACACAGACTCTTCATAGACGTTTAAGATTTAATTAATAAAGTCACGATTAAACACGAAGAAGACACATAAATCGTTAATCGGTTTTGTGCGCTTACATTATGGACGTTGGAAACAGAGATAATGCACCGCGTGTCGGCACGTCCGTAATATCCCGAAATATACATATTGCCCCTCTCGTTCCGTAATCGGTCTACTTTGTAACAATATAAAACAATTATTTACATCGACTAGGAGAATTCGAGAACGATGAAAATGTTCAGGAAACTTAGATGCTAGATGGAAATATTCTTCTATGAGTGTTCGTGTAATATGTATATGTGAATGATTGTGTTCGCTTCTGTTTTTTTTATTTTTTTTTAAATATCCGAGCTTCTCTTTTCCCTTCCGAAAAATATATCGTTGCATGCCAAACAGAAATTGTATATGATCTAGATAACGTGAAGCGAATCGAGATGATGCGTTTGGAAATAGAATATACAAAATGATTCGAATAAGAATGGACTGGATTGTAACTCTCTTCTAGAAACCATGTTGTAGAAAAAAATAATAGAAACTTTGATTGTTATACACTTGCAAGATGCTTTTATTTTTTTTTAAATAGAAAAGAACTATGATCCAAGCTTAGTCAAATCAATCTGTACATTTCGTGAATGAAATCAATGGCATTGATTATTCGATTACGCGACTAATCGACGTATTTAAAATCTTAGATAATTTAAAAACTTTAGATAATTACATTTTTTAAACGCAGACTGATTTTTCGTAATACGTTGCTAAAATCGCGTGCAAATTGATCATGTCGTTCCGCTCTAACGATCTCGATGAAGGTTGTACAACAATTTGCGTAACATTCGTCGCGATTGACTAACCGTTAATTAGATAGATTAGGACGAATATCAGTCTGACGAAAAGGCTCGTTACTAAAACGCTCAGGCACCGATCTTTCTTATCTTCCCCGGCTTCATTTATCAAACTTATCGGCTACTTAAAGATATGATAGGTCAGAAATTAATGGAAAGTTGAATGAAAATGAATATTTAGAGCAATGTTTTAATCGCTGTATATAATCTCTTTGATACCTATAGAAACTGTTTTGTATGATATAAATCATATACAAAACAAACATTTCAAAGGACAATTCACCGGCGCGCGAATCGATCGTACAAATATCATACGAATGCAACGATTGCAAGATGTACATAGTATACATATAGCCGACACGAATGAACCATACGCGCGTGACAAATAACGTGACGGATTTGGTTTGGTATTTAGTGTGTGTCGAAAGAGAGCTCTTTTCTTTTTTATTTAAAAAAATCGATGTCTGAGAAATGGTGTTCACAATAATGTAGTACAACAACGTAACGGTATTACATATAGATAATATATATATAATATATATTTATATATATAATATTATTTATAATAATAGGTAATTTTCTTTTACCACAGTATAACATGGCTATATACAAATATTACAAATTTTCTTTCATTAAGCCCTCACGGATCGATCGATCGATCTAGCGCGAGAGTAGGCAGCGACGCTTTTCCATTCGCTGCTTACTTTATTTTCTTTAATTGCACGTTACAACAGGCTTGCGATTTTATTAATCTTAAGCCAGTCTCTCCTCTCCTCTGAGGGGGGGGGGGGAGAAAGAGAGTTTGTTTTTGGGTGCGGGTGATAAGAAGAAAAGGAAATAGGAAAAATATTTCCTGTTAGAAATAAAAAAAAAAACCTGGATTTGAAATTTAGAAACATACATAAGGTAGAATAAAACAGAGTACATAATATTTGTTTCGATTGAGGCTTTAACGTGTTTCGCAACAGCAAGTGCGAAGACACGTACGAATTTGCAAGATTACACGTTTTAAGTTGTAAAATCTTCCTGAGGATACTTTGGTCGTGCTATGTGGGATCATCGTGATCTTCTTTGAAATTAGAAAATACAATTCAGTAGGAACCTCATTTCACTTCCTACTCTTAAAAAGAAGAAATTTGTTTTTAGACAATTTATACTATTACTCAAATTGTGTACGTAACACGAAATAAAATATAAAGTTCGTTATACATTTACATTCTGTCTTTGAATTTCATCGCAAGCTTGTACAAATTATCAAAAGAAGTCGCTATTACGATCTGTATTACAGAACCGTATAATTTTGTGAGAAATTAATTCTTTTTCTACAATGTGTCTCCAGATATTATATATCTCTCAATCACGGTCGTCGTATATGACAAATTAAAAAGAATATTATTGGTTTTAGTATCGAGGCATCGTTCATTATTAATTTATAAATAATCGCGAATTAAATAATACTTTAAACAAAATTGAGATGCATCAAATATTTGTTACAGAAAAGACAAAATTTGTCACACGTTATATAAATAAAAAAATATATATAGAATATCTGAAAACAGAGTGTTTGTGCAATAATAAGAGAAATCTGAATATAAAAGTACGTGTCTAGTTCTCGTTCAAATATTTAAGGCCGATAACTCGATACTATTACAATTCGATACTATACTCTCATTCATTAAGATTAATGCGAGTTGAAATTAGCGCTGTCAGATTTCATCATCTATCTATAATATTTAACAATCATATTACAATGTTTTATTCCGATAAAAATAATACCAATTTAATTGAAGATTGATTAAATTTGCTTAATAGCACAACAATTAATACAATAACGTCATTTTCTTTCTATGATTTTTACCATATATTGCACACATTACCCGTAATCTTTTGCATCTTGAATATATCGCAACTTTAAATATATTGAAAGATAGTAATGTATGTTTCGCAACATATATGTCAGATATAATAACAGGAATAAATCTCTTTCTTTTTCAAAGATTCTAGTTAAAACTCTGTGCTCTTTATATTCCCCTTTACAAGCCTTCCATATTTATGGTTAAAATGACAATGACAAATTGACGTTACGATCTTGGTTAACATTTAACTTGGTTTAAACCTTATGTTAAACGACCGACGATCATATACATACGTTTATATTGCACGATTATGAGTCGATAGCACGATCTTACAATCTATGACGAATATCTACGCGCTTTTGGCACCTCTTGCATTTGCATATACGCGGACGAGACTTTGCAAGTAAAAGAGAGAGAGAGAGAGAGCAAACGGGAAGAGAATTTCATCTACTACGATAAATTTTTGGATATAGCAATGTTTGACTCTTGGTCACATTAATCGCATTTTAAATATGTAAAGATTATTGTTAAATTTCTTCCGTTAAGATGCACTCTCTGCGAGTTTCTCATTATGTAAAGAAGCTCTTGTGACTTTTTTTTTACGAAATATGCGCCAATTGATAGAGAGTGTAACAGTGATATAAAAAGAGATATACTCCTTTACACTCTGTATGAGCAAGAGCTTCCTTAGCACCATTCCGTATATTTATTTATCTTTGCAGACAGAGGATGATCTATATTTATAAGATATGAATGTGATATTAGCGATAGCGATTTCATTGCGATTTACGTCTGTTTAAATTTCAATCTATTTAATATAATGTGAAAGAGGTGTATGTGTGCTGAAATATGCACCGTAAGACTCAGACTACGCTATACCATAGATTCTATCCGCGTTCTTCGATATGTCGTAGCCTGATTCCGCAATACTAATCGCCTACGTTATGTCTTTAACTAGAACGAAGAATTTGAATGTTATCGAGAAAGATATGGTACGCTACTTACAATGTGTCTAGATATAAGGATCATTTTCTTGATTTCACAGTTATTAACAATTATCTTAATTTTACATTCGATTAATTATCGAATGCATATAAAGTATAATGTATTACTTTCAAAAAACAATTGACAACCGCCGAGGGTACACGCATATGATATTTTCTTCCTACTTGTTATTATCACTGCGTTTATTCAGCAATGAGAAAAGCAATTAATAACGAAGAAATTATAATTAATCATTCTTTAAATAAAGTGATACATCTGGAAATGATTATCAATAGCAGGATTGTACATATTTGAAACATAAAAAAGCCCATTCCTGAAGAACTTTTATGCAATCTCTTTAATGAGATTGCTTTTGAATTTCTTAGATTTTTTTTTTAATAGTTCAGTATCACAGATTCGACGATAATTTTCGATGAATATCAATCAAATCTAAATTTGTTTAATAATACAATCCTGTATTGCCTAAACTAATTCATAGTATAATGCAAATGTGATATTAAGAGTGAGAGGAAAAAGTAACAATTATTTGTATGGACTAGGTACTATTAACATAAATGTTTATGATTGTAAGTTGCTCGCAAGGATGTAATGAGGAAAAGGAAACATAAGAATCTAGATCGCTGTTGGCGTGTACCGCCGATAGGCATCTCCCTCCTCTCTCACTTCTATATCTTTATGCGTTTTTAATTACTCCTCCTTGAGGAGCATAATCGATCGTCTTTTCTAACTTTAAATTGGCCTAAACGGTAGATTACTTTACTATAATTGCATTATGATAAAAGCATGTATAAATCAGTAAACCTTTTCTTTTGTGCTTCTTAGAGATCATACATGATACAATGTACAAAGTAGTGTAAAATAAAAAAAGGGTTAATAAAGATTCATATATATTACTTAATCGTCAAGTAGCAGTTTATCACGAGCGGGAAACAACTTTCATTGACCACTGACCTGTTTCCAGAAAATATTTCGAAAGATATTTTAGACGCAAATACGCTATCCATAAAAACAATACAGATCTGACATCATATATGGATGAGATTAAAAAATGCACAGCATTTTAACGACATAAAAATATTCACGTATAAATCTACTTAAGTTTATACGCTGTAAATAAAATTTACAAATATTTATACATATTGACGCGCAATTCCCTGCAAATCTGCCAGTGCCCAAGAAGTGGTACCCCAATATGTCAAAGTGTCTTAAGAATTAATCACGACACCAGGACAGAATTTATTTTATCCTACGCAATAGTCGACGAGTGTTGGTAAATGAGTAAAATTTCTTCTCTTAAAGTCGATCTAATCTAAAGTGGGCTTCGGCGCTGGAGTCCGATATAACCATCGTAGGGTCAGCCAACATTTGTAGACCATCCACATCGATCGGATCAAGGCCCTGTCTGAGGGCATCGTCCGATGGAAACATTTCTGGGTCAAAATCACCCATCATTGCCGTTCCGAGGTCTTTCACAAATTCCGGATTCGTAAGATCATCCGCACCAGAAAAGTCTGTAATACAATATTTTTTTTATAGAGATTTTTCTATTGTTTTATAGTATCTAAACACTTGAAACATTTTCGTTAACATTTTATAATTCGGAAGATTAACGTTTAAACGATCTATATTTATATAATATTTTGTTCTTGTTTAATATTTCCTCAGTGTACAGAATTACGTTCATTTCTTGAAATATTGACATATAATGAGGAATTACATTGAATATAACATGAATAACAATTTCTCTCATAAATGTCAAAAAAGAATTAAATAACTTAATTGAAAATGGATAAAATAGGAAATTTTAGTGATGCTTTTTTTAGTGATGAAGAATTATATTGAATATAAACATGGATAACAATTTTTTTCATAAATATCAAAAAAGAATGAAATAACTTAATTGAAAATGAATAAAATGGGAAATTTTTTTTAGTGATGCTTTTTATTACAAAATGCAATTTAAAAAATCTTGAAACATATCTACGGCAATACCTGTGAGAATGATTGTAGGTGTATTTGGAGTCTGCGGTGTTAGCTGCTGAGTAGCAGTGGTCGTCGTCGTGGTAGGTTGATACGCCATTTGTGGACTCGTGCTAAAGTATCCCGTATCTCCACTGCCTAAATCGCCGACATTAATCACGTCGTTCTGAAATGTAAAGAATAGGTAAAGAATTAAATAAAGATGAAAGATACATAATACAAAATGAAGTATATTAATTTGAATTTTTTGTAATAATTGTTTTACAAAGATTTACAATAAAATATTGATCTTCTCACCTGGGTGTAACTCGTAGTATGATTTGGTGACCCGATAAATGTCCCAATCGTGTTCGCCTGCACCGGCGTGTCCATCTGAAGTAGAGAGAAAAAGAAAGAAAGTCGTAGAGATGAGCCTGACATCATTGAAAAGCCTCGGAAGAATTATCACAGTTGCGATCTAATCGGATTCGTCTTTAAGTGAATACAACGTTGATTCGTCTCGTGTGTAACGCGCTTCTCCAGCCCCAAATGCTTTTTATAGAATGATCCGATCCGCGAGGGACATCGTACGCGCGGGAGGGAAAACAGCGGAAGAAGAGTATAAAGGGAGAAATAAATACGATCGAATCGTAAGCTCGTAAGTTTGTGCCGCTCGCCTAAAGATCGCCCATTCTTCAACTTCGGAATCTATCACAACATTGGTTACTGTTCGATTTCCGGATACTCCGTTTCGCTTAATAGCCATTGTTAAATGAAATCCGTTTTCGCTTAGTCAGCATCCACGATAAACTTATTGCTTCTACGTCTATTATTTCGCGTACGAGTTTCCAGCTGGCTGCATCTATTCGTGCTTATTTAACTCGTCCTAAAATTCATGATTCTTTCTTTGAAAGAAAAAAAAGGGATTATTATTATTAAATCGCTCTTAGATTCTCAGAGGCTGATATTAAAGGACAATATCGTACAATAATCTATGTGAATGAGGTTGTTTAGTTTAAACGATGATTTTTATCTCGTAAAACATCATCTTTTCTATTCCACCACTTAAACTGATGGCTCGGCGCGTAACTGTCCGTGCAATATCAAATGATAATGGCTACTTGTGCGTGTAACGACGAGGAAATAAAAAGGGGGTATCGTTAAGACCCTCCGCGATAAAACTAGTTCTGTAGCTCAGCACGCACGACATCGGCAACTTTGGCATGTAACATCATATGTGTAACAACGCGTTACCGAACTTTGCGGAATATCAATCAAGAATACGTTACGAATTACGATTATTATTAGCCTTCTGATACGCATAAAAGCCGCTGTTACATATTTTTTCCCGTTTACGATTTTTTAACGGCACATTTAAAATTTCTCTTCAATCGGGGTAATGTTTTCAACATCAGTGTATAATATACAGTGGCATGGTATTTCACCGCGAGTAATATTTTACCTTAATCTACAAATATTTCACCCTTCTCGGATCTGATATTTTTCCTTCGCCGCACGTGCAAGCGAGCGTTCCTCGCACGGGAATACATTTGGCATGTTTGTATGCAAACCTCTGCTGTTTGAAACCGTAAAAGATACGGCACTTGTATAAATTCAACATTCTTTTTTTTAATATATAACTGTAAACTAGCAGGTTGTATCTATAAATAAGCAAGTTGTAAAACATCTGTCTCAATCATTCGTCTTTTTTTTTTAATTTAATACACTCATTAGATATTTAAATCCTATTGTGAGAGTAACGTTCTTACATTTGATCTCTTTTAACAATCACGATACAACACATAATATACATATAATAATAGACATATAATTATTAATTTTCGAAAAAATACTTTTTGCAGGCCTTATAAAAAGCGTACCACGACACAACGCTGGACATACTCTCCATATACTGAATTTGCAAATAAAAATGTTTCAACTAATGGCGATATTTCACCTCTATCTGCGTGGTCCAGGTGCAACCGAGTTCCATCAGCTGCTGCGCAAATTTGGGCCACTCCTGACGAATGCAGGCAACAAATAAACAACAAGACTTAGGACTATAAGTCTAGAGGTAATATAATGTAATTATACAGCCGCTTTTTACCGATTATAATTATAAGACTAATTTTTATAAAAAATCTGTTTTTTATACGATTGTAATCTACTAATATCATAATTTCATATTAGATGCATTTCTCACTCAATACAAATATTTAAAAAATCATAATTTGAAGGCTTTGAAGAACGGAACGTTTGACGATGTAACTGAGTAGAATATCAAGTGATTCCGACAGAATAATTCATACGAATCATTCGCTTGGAATAATTCATCGCGTAGCATTAATTATAGCTTTGAAGGTCAAACCGCCTGAAGAGTAATGCATATCATATGTATTGAAATTCGCAAAACCAATCAGCTTGCATGTGAAAAATGAGTATTCATATATGCACAGAAACTACAACACTAATGATCAAAGTATCTAAATGAGGAATTCTAAGACTATAAACTTAAAATTGTAAGACTAATTAAGTTAAAGTATAACTATTTTGTAATTCCATTTGCGATCTCATCAAAATTTTGACTCGTTAATCTCGTTGTTTGCCTTTATTTTTAACCTTTACTATTCATTAGATACGAGCAATTCAGCGGAAAATACTTACCAATCCCTTCGACATGCATAAAAAAAGATTGAGCGCCAATTAGGATCGGGTATCCCTTAATTAATTATAATTGATGGATTGATTATAGTTATACATATAATCATAATTGTCAGATTACTGAATTCGTATCGGAATTAAACAACTATAATTTTAATGTCCGTACCTCTTACTGCGCGAACAAACGCAACGCGATGAAAAAAAATTAATTACGGCGATTTCTCGTTAAAAAATATCAATTGCCTTTCGGGAACAGTGAGATGAAACGCGCGAGTATTTCTGACGTTATGGTTATGCGCGTGTATATCTATTACAAGTAAGTAATAACATGCGGAATACACACACACACACACTCTCTCTCTCTCTCTCTCTCTCTCTCTCTCTCTCTCTCTCTCTTTTTTTTCTCTCTCTCTCTCTCTCTCTCTCTCTCTCTCTCTCTCTCTCTCTCTCTCTCTCTCTCTATTTTCTTTCTCTCTGCGAAAACCCGTATGCAATTATATGTTGAAATATACCGCGTAAAACGTTTAACACGTACATATTATGTTCTGGAAAAGCGGATTAACAAGGTCTAACAGCATTGCGGATTCACGGACTTAACGCATCGACAATTTCGGAATTATCATGTACAGGCTGCCTATCCTGAGAGATAGAGATTGTATATCGAATCTCCCTTTTTGTCTCTCTAAGATAAAACTTGGATGAAAAAAATAAGAATGCCAAACGTATGACTGGAATATTGCCAACGTGACAATCGAATATTTCCGATAGTTTGGAAAACTTTTACTTTCCTTCACCTGAATGGACCGTCGAGCGATCCAATATTTTAATTTCGCTAAACTTTAAAACTTCGAGTCAGCCGGTTTAACGTCAAAATTTAAGAGCTCTTTTTCCGAAATATGTCCGCCCGCGATACTCTTCGCGAACTCAAACGCATAAATCAGTCCCTTTTCCAACCAAGATTAAAAAGCGAATGACTCACACATACCATTGTGAACTGCTCAAAATCCTGCTGGAGAGCCGCTGCTTGCGCCTGGTTGATGAAATAAGTATTCTGATCGATAGGATCGGACGTCAAGTTGGGTGGACCCGGATGTCCTGTAGGACTAGGCGGCGCCGATGGATTATTGCTATAACTTAAGGGACTTCCCTGAAAAAGGAATGCGCACTACTTTCAAACTCGTTAGTCGCACGAAGCTATTATTACAGACACGAGAACGGAATTTTTATTTTCACGTTATATGAAATTATATAATCTTTTACACATTTATTGTTATTAGATGATTATATAAACGATGATTTTATATAAACGTTACCATTTCAATTATTTTAAAAATAATACTGTATCTCTATGATAAAAGGCTACATCATTAATATTAAACTCTTATTATTAATATTTCATAAGATAAGAGATGATCTCACTTGAACGGTTAGACTAGGTGACGACTGCGGCGACGGCCTGTTCACCGACTGCGTAGATCTATACGATCCTAACGAATTGAGCTGCGACTGTTGATGTTGTTGTTGCTGGTGCTGTGACGTTTTCTAAATGTCAGGTATTAATAAGATATAATAAATGATTGTTAGTTGATAATCAAATAGTATAACAATTATCAACAATCACTCGTGTAATTTATATAATAATATTAGAGTTATATGAATTAATATTTTTCCAATTCCTTAGATCGATAATTTTTTTCGAGAAGTGTATTTTGTCCATTTAATATAGCTGTTAATAAGCATTTAAATGCGAAAAAAATAAATCAAGTATTTAAAAAATATTTGTAGATATGCATTTAACAAAAAGCACTTATAATAATAATAATAATTACTATTCACGCAATTATGATAAGAATTTTGAAACGTCCGACTTGGTCGGTTGGCATATACTAACTGGACTTTGCGGTACAGGACTATGTGGTTGTTGATAAATGTAATGGCCAGCAGTCGGGCTGTGAGACGTCGCCGTCGGCGCCGGTTGCTGCGGATAGCTCTGAAGATCCTGTTGCGAAGTACTTGTGCTGTTTTCCAGTGCCACACCCTGCTTCATACCCATCGCTATTAACGATCGATCGTCGCTCTGTCGCCTCTCTCGTTTTGCTTTCTCTTTCTCTCTCTCATACACACAACACACACACACACACACACTATGTCTTTCTCTCTTTCTCTCTCTCTCTCTCACACACACACACTCTCCCCCCCCCC